AAAAGTTAAGAAGCAAAACCATATGATCATCTCAATATAAATGCAAGTTTATATTTTATTTTATTTTATTTTATTTACAAAATCCAATACCCAGATGAAAGCTCGGCAAATCGTTCTTTGAAGGGAATTCCTCAAGCTGGCGAAGGGTCCTTAGGTGGAACATGCTGCTAAAGGCATCCTGACCAGTGAAGCCAACCGGTTTCCCCCAAGACTGGCAGCAAGACAGGACGTCTGCTCTCACTGCTTCCATTCAGCACGGTGCAGAGAGTTAGTGCAATGATGCAAGAGAAAGAAGTAAAAGGAATCCATGCTGGAAAGGAGGACGTAAAATTTCCTTTAGTCACAGATGGCATGACCATCAATACAGAAAACCAGATGGAATCTGCGAAAAAAAAGTTACTAGAACTAAGGGTGCACGATGCAAAATCAAAATACAAAAATCAATTGTATATCTATATACTAACAATAAACACTTTGGAATAGAAACAATCCAATTTACATAGTACCAAAAATAAAAAATTCTTAAAGATAAATCTGACAAAAATATTCAAAAAAACTTGTACTCTGAAAACTAGAAAAACCTTTCCAAGAGAAATTAAATAAGACCCAAATAGATGAAGAGATAGACCTTTCTTAAGAGACGGAAGACTAAATATTGCTAAAATGTGAATCTCCCTAAATCGAGTTCTAGAGTCAATGTAATCCCAAAGCAAAACTCAGCAGAACTTTTGGTAGAAATTTAAAAACTGATTATGAAGTTCAGATGAAAATGCAAAAGACCCAGAATAACCAAATTGTTTTTACAAAGAACAGTGTTAGAAGAGTTACACGCTCCTGGACAAAGTGAAATAAAGAGGTCCCGGGCCTGTGACACACAGCGTGGTGACCGCAGTTAATAAAGCCGCATCCTACGCCGGGTGGGGCAGAAGTAGGGCTACAGTTGGGAGTACGGGAAACGGGGTTTATTCTTGTATTACTATTTATTAATTGTTGTATTTTTTCCACACAAACAACTGTAAACCTACCTTTGCCCTACCCTGTCTTTGAAAGTCGCTAAGAGAGAAGAGCTGAAAAGGTGCCGTCACGGGAAGGACGTGGAACTTTGTGCGGTGACGGTGCAGGCAGGACTTGCTGCGGAGAGGCGGCGCCTGGCGAAAAGGTGTCAGAGCCGTCTGCACACGGGCAGCCACCGCCCTGACCGGCACACCCCAGGCTGGAGAACTGAAGTGACGGATGGGCCACAGCTCAATTCCTGACAGGCCCCTGCGTGGCTGCCCCTGGGGAATATCCGAATCAGCCTCTGGATGCTTCCAGACCTGGACGTGCCCTGGAGCGGGCGCTCGTGGAAGGGAGGCACGGTCTGCGGTGACCCTGGGCCTAACCAGGTTGATTGCCCAGTAAAACAAAAATAGCAACATTTTAACGGGATTCCTACACAAGACCCAGGCCATCATAACACAATGTTCAGAACGTCTAGTACACAGCCCAAAACTGCTGGGTACCCGAGGAAGCAGAAAGATCCCCAAATCCATACATGAGACACCGACAGCGAGGTGATACAGATGTTGGCATTATCTGACAAAGAATTTCAACCAGCGATTACAAAATGTTTAGCTCCAATATGTTTATTACGTCTATTACTGAGACAGGAGTTGAAGCCATTGAATCTATTTTCTCCCAGTTCTTAAACTGTAATCTGTTAATGATTCATTAAAATGTCAAACTATGGGAAAGACGTGGGTCAGCCGAAGACAAAAACACTTTTACATTTTCCTGTTATCAGGAATCACCACGAAGCAGAACGCAAAAGTGCATGGTAAGAGCAGTTTCTAACAACACCGTCCTCTTGGGACAGCCTGTCTGTGTGTGAGAAACCAGCTTTCTCGAAATGTTGAAAAACAACTATAATCTGATTTTTTAAATGTTACTCAAGTGTATTTTGTGCGCCTTAAACAAAAAAACAATGTAATTCCAGCTCTCGGCACTTTACAGCTCCCTGGTGCAACCTCCCTAGCAGTCGTCTCAATAGGTACAGCCGGGTTCAAGTTCTACACGGGAAAAAACGAAAACAAGAGCTCCGAGGAAACAGGGAGACTATCTCTACCATCTGGGGCTGCGAGGGCCATTCTAAGGTGACAGAGAGGCAGGGAGCTGGGAGCCGGCGCAGACAGCGGGCAGGTGCCGCCGCACCCCGCTCTGGGCCACGCCAGGAGCCGAGAAGGCCTGGAAGCCAAGCTAAGAAGAGCCATGACAAGGTCAAGTGCCATGCCCTCTGACCCGGCAATTCCATCCCCGACCGCCCACCCCGCAGGGCGCAAGTACGGCCACACCGGGACGCGAGCGCACGGTGCCGCCGGCCGCTCCGACCCGAGAGGGCGAGACCGGGCAGGAAGCCCGGGACCGCGGCAGAGCACGCAGGAGACACGTGGGCGACAGTGAACGGGACGGCCAGGCGAGCTGCAACGGGTCCACAAGCCGCTGGCGAGAGGAGAGAGCAAGGTGCGCGAAAGTGAGGCTCTGCGTCCGCACAGTAAAGCGCCAAGCCACCGCGTCTCCGTGCGTGCGTGGGTGGATGCACGCTGGCCTGCGTAGGGCTTTACTGCCGCTCTGGAGGGAAGCGTGGGTGCCCGCATGCAGGCTGCCCGCGCGGGAGAGCGGGCGCTGGGCCGGGGGGCGGGGGTGCTGACACCTGGCGTGGGGAGGGAGGCCGCGAGGCCGTTGACAGCACGTACGATGCGGCCCTGCGCGCGTGCACGCGAGTGCGCGCAGAGAGAGAAACATCAGAGGGGCGGCCGGACTTGGGTGGCCTTTGTCCCGGGCTCTGCACTTCCAGGTGACTTTTACCTTCTCGATCATGTTTTTATGTATTGTTTGAATTTTTACAATTATTACATATTATCTGTAAAATAAAAGGCCACTTTAAATATGGCAAACAGTATGTATTTTAAAAAATTAAAGGGCAAAGGAAAATGGAGAAAAAGAGTCCAAGAGTTTCCAAAGGGTTAATCCTTATTAAACAGAGAGCTTTCCGGTACCTGTAAGAAAAAACTGCACCCTCCAGAGACATGGACAAATGACACGAACAGACCATTCTTAGAAGCGTAACTATTGTACAGAGTCAGCCTCACTGAAACTAGACTATTTTAAAGAGAAATTTAAAAATCAAGCCATACTGACAAGGATGTAGGGACCCAGTACACGTTGTTCAGTTGGGAATGTAATTGTTTTTTCCTGGAGGACAAGGTAGTCAGGTGAAGCCTTAAAAATAAACACAAACTTTGACTTGGAGGTTCCATCTCTAGGGATTCACGCTATGGAAAGCATCAAGAACACGTAGCGAAAATACGGCACCCCCGCATAAAACAGTGTCAACCGAACCACCCACGGGGCCGCCAGCAGGGGCAGCCGCCCGGCGGAGCGTGGCGCAGACCGCCGGCAAAGGCGCTGGGAGTGCGCCCAGCAGGCTCCTGGCGCCTCCTTCCAAAGCGCCCCTGAACTGTAGCAGGAAAGTAAGTAAAGCTGGGGCATCACTGAACGCCTGGGAGGAGCACTGCCCACAAACCAGAACCACTGGAAATTTCTGGGAGAGAATAAAGCAGAGCAAGAGATTAATCTGGAAATGCAATAAAAATAGGAAAGAGCAAGAACGTCCCTGAAACGTGACTTCTCCCAGAAGAATTCTGGGTAAGTCCTCGAGGAGAGGCGGCACCGAACAAGACGCAGGGTGCAGCGGGCGCGGGGCGGGGCCCCCGGCGTGGAGACGGCCGTGCCCCGTGCCTGCTTCCGGGGAAGGTCGCGCTCAAGTCAGACCCAGCCTCAGAGCTAGCGTTCGCGCCAGTGCTTGCCAGCAGGATAGAGACACAGGACGGCCCTCCGCATGGGGATGTCCTAAATAGGACCCTGCTGGAACGGGCTTGAGGTGCAAGGGACAGCTGGTGGCTCGAGAGTCCTCCACCAAAAGCCCCCGCCCCGGCGTGGCCCAGCGCAGGCCCGCCCAGGCCCGGCCTCGCCCTGCCCCGCAGTCACCTGCTTCTGCCCGAGCGCACCAGGTACCCGCACACCGCGGGCCAGTGCAGGCCTGGCAGGACGCCGGGAAGCATGGGCCCGCGGCACACACACAGGCAGAGCAAAGCGAAGGGAAAGAGGACCCCCAGTTTTTATTCTGCAGACTTCCACATCACGTGCCTCTCTTTGCCACCAACATACATTCGTATGTATACATAATCCAGCACATACTCATAGAGTTCATGTACTTAATTCACATACTTAAATAATTCAATATAAATACATATTTATATAATTCAATATCAATATATAAATCTAGGTGTAGCTTCAGATCTATATTGATGTATAGTATCAAGACATCTCAAATAAAATTAAAAAGCATAACATACAAGTGTAGTTTTAATTTTGTAGAAAAGTAGTATTTTATATATACGGGGGTCAGCAAAACCCCTGGAAGGCCAGGCACCAACATGTGAGCCCCAGTGAATTCTGTGGGGGGGGACACCAGGGGACTTTGATTAGGGTTTGGTTTTTTGGGGTTTTTTTTTTTTACATTTCTTTTCTGTACTTAAGGGACTGTTCCTGTAACAAGAAACTAGTCATGACTTTTCTTTAATTCAAAAACATAAAGCCATTTAAAAAGCTAATGGCTTTAAGCGCTGCCATGAAACCTGCACCCTGAACTCGGGGACATTCAGCGTTTTCATCAGAGGTCGTCCTGAGCAACAACGTGAAGGTGGCCCCAGAGCCTCAGGCACGTCAGCCTGTTTCTGGACCTCAGAGGCCACCTGTTCAGCACAAAGCTGGGAAGGAGAGCAGGGTGGGAACGGCCATGGGGAGCAGCGTGGACCACGCACCTTGTCCCTACTGGGTTCCCGAAACACGGCAGATGCCGAGTAAGTGCTGGCTGAACGAACAGAAAAGAGCGCGACCCGTCAGCACGGGTCCCCCTTCCTAGAGCGGAAGCTGGCGTTCAGCAAGGAGCGCGGACTTACGGGGTGCCTGGCGGAAAGCCTTCCGGTCACAGTCCCGGTCTGGTTCCACGTGGAGGAGACGGAGCCCTTTACGGGTTGGAAAGAATCTGTTTAAGCTCTGACACTGCGCCGCACGGGCGAGCCCGTGCTGGGCCCCTCAGCTTCGGCCCCCCAGACGCGACCCTCCCTGCCCTCTCCCGTCCACAGGCCCTGGGCCCCAACCCGACGTGCCCCAGGTGTCCGACACTGCCGTCTAGTGATCAGGGGACTCTGCGGTAGGGTGTGCGGGTCCCTGAGCCACTTAAAGACCCTGTGCGTGGGGGAGGGGGCACCGGGGGCGTGGGGGCTCTAGGTGGGCTGTGCCTCCCAGAGCCACCCCGGGAAAGGGCCGCAGGAATGAGCGGCAGCAGCAGGCGGGGAAGCTCGGGGTCGGCAGCCGGGCCTCCACACCCGCACCAGCTTCTGCAAAGAGGCCTGACTCTCAGTGAACTCATGGCTCACAGCTGCAGGCAGATTAGATTATTTCACCATTAACTAGAATTTAAGGGACTTCTAGATCTACCTGAACTCATGTGTGTAAACCACATTCCTACTATTTTTTAGCCTCGATTACCTTTTTCATGCAAGCTAGTAGTCCATCTACAAAGGTTGACTTGATCTTGTGAACCTAAATCACAAAGACAAAAATAATCATTTTCTTTAAGTGTTTAAGTGGGAACGAGCGTCAGAGCTGTGTTTCATCGAGCGCTGGGCACATGCGGTAGGTGGCACCTGAGTTGACTCCAGGAGGCCCTGAAGTGGCCTCGTGTGGCCCCGGAATTAAACAGCACCGACCCACACAGAAGGGAGTCCCCTACCCCTTTTGAAATGAATTCGTTGTTCTGGAATGATTCCTTCACAGACAAGTCACAAAGATGAACAGGCGCTCCCACCCACCCATCGCCTGGCACCCCCTGCGGTGCCCTCGTTGTCCTCTCTGAACCCTTTCATTACTTCGAGGGCAAGGGTCAGTTGCCACCAACAAGCTCTCTAACCGCCGCGCAGCCCTAGCAAAGAGCAAGCCACAGGGAGGGTGCCAGCTCTGGAGAAAGTGATGCCCGTGGTTCACGAACAACAGAGGGCGAACTCAGGTATGTGAGGGGAAAACCCACAAGTGGCTGGAAGGGGCGGGGGTCAGGAGGCAGCACTGTCGGTGCCCTGGTGACGCACAGCCGCAGAACTGCAGTGCTGCTGCGCCGCAGCGCCGGGCCGGGGCGCAGGGCGCAGGGCACGGGAGGCAGCTCCCCAGCGCAGCAGTGATGGGAGCCCACCTCACACTGAGGTCGGACAAAGGTGCACCGGGCGCTGCCTTCCGAGCTTTCACTAACGCCCTTCAGCGCTGAGCGGGGCTGCCTGCAGACGGAGCAACACCGCACAGGTGCGAGCCAGCAGTCAGCTCCTACGAGGTCAGCGTGAACAGGCTCTGTCCCCTTTAGGACTCTGTCAGGGCCACCTCAGGGGTTAGGGATTTCCCGTAACAGTAACGGCGCCATGTGCTTCCCCTTCATCACCAACTCACAAAAAAGAAAAGTTAGCTTACCTGCCTATATTCCAAAATGATCTTGGGTAACGGATGGAGGTCTTGCAGAGCATTTAACTAAAAAATGAGAATAAATATCACCAAAATAATTTCTTCATTTAATTTCAACATTTCAAGCACTGATTTTTAGCTGGAGAAAGTCCTAATAAAAAAACTGTCTACATTGAGTGTGTTTTCCAAAATGAAAATTCATAACCAATTCAGTTTATGGACTGTACTAACTTTAATCCCTTACAAAATCCATGTTGACCTCTCATGGCCTGGAAACAAGATTTCTCTTGAGATTCTGATTAGTGAAAAGCCTCATGGGAGAGTAAACTGGAAGAACACCTACCAATGTGTGACTTGGTAGTTCAGGAACACCCAACGTCTTAAACACAGCAATCGGGCTTAACATCAGGGAGGTAACATTGGAACGTGATTATGGATTTTGAAATTAATTCCCAAAAGTCAAAATAGAACATAGAGCAAAGTACAAGACCATAGGAACGCAAATTGTGAAATTATCACAAAGCAAATACCCTTGGGTTCACCTGCGTGTAACATTCCAGGTTCCCAAGCAAGTCCCTGCCCCTCCACTGCCCTGACCTCTGCCATCCTGGCCACTTCCCCGTGTTGGTGGACGTTACTTTCTTAAAGATTTTATTTATTATTTACTTTTAGACAGCGGGGAAGGGAGGGAGAAAGAGAGGGAGAGAAGCATCCATATGTGGTTGCCTCTTACATGTCCCCCACTGGGGACCTGGCCTGCAACCCAGGCCTATGCCCTGACTGGGAATTGAACCGGCGACCCTTTGGCTCACAGGTTGGCACTCAGTCCACTGAGCCACAGCAGCCAGGGGAGGACTTCTTGTCAATGGAATAGGACAGGTACTCTCTGTGTGTGGCTTCTTGTGTTCAACATTCTGGCTCGAAGGCTCATCCGTGGTGTCGTGGGAAGAGCACGACATTCACGTGTAATGCTGTCTCATTTGAAGGCAGGACAGTGTTTACTCCCCCACCATGGTCAGCCATGGGGGCTGCTTCCACATCCGGCTCCTCTGAAGAGCGCCGCGGCGGACCTTCTGGCACACAGAGTGCGGTTAACATGAATGGGCACGTAGAGAGGCGTGTGGCGGCCAGACTACCTGCCACAGAAACAGTACCAGCCCATCCACCGGGAAGGCGTGGAAGCCCCGTGGCTCCACGTCCCCGGTGGTGCATGCCGTCCTCCTTCGTAATTCCAGCCATTCCAGTGAACTGAAGTGATAGCTCACTGCGGCTTTGATGTCTGTTGCCCCAGTGGCTGAGAAAGTTGAACAGTAGCCAAACAGTTACTGACTAATTGTATATCTTTTTTCACTATACTTCTTTTTGTGTCTTTTGACTATTTAAAAAACTGGTTTGTGTCTTTTTTTCCCCCCTGATTTGTGAAAATTCGTCTAAACAGGGTTTTCTTTTAGTCACATTTACTGGAAATACCTTCTACCTGTGTGGCTCTCTTCCGTGTTTAGTGCTGCCTTTTCCTAAACAGAGGGTCTTAACTTTACTGTTGTCCAACTTGCCAATCTCTCTATGGCTGATGCACTTTGTGCCCTGTCTGCCTACCTCAGGTTCTCAAAGATACTCCCTACAGCATCTTCTACAGTCTTTATTGTTTTGCACTCTGAAGGTTGACATACAATTCACTGGGGATTTCTGTGGGCGGTGTGAAGCAGGGGTCCAGAGGCCCTGGCCCCAAACCCTTTACGTCCCCAGCTTGTGGGTTCTCTGTCCTGGTCCTGTGGTCTATCTGCTCGTCCTTGAGTTGACACCACACCATACTGATAAATTAATTCCTACTAATTTCTATTGCTTTATGATTAGTCTTGATATCCAGTAGACTAAGTCTTAGTGCTTTATTTCCCAAGATTATCTTGGTCCTTCTTAATTTTTTGCATTTCCATATAAATTTGGGGATCAGCTTACCAATTTCTACAGAAAACTCCTGCTACAGTTTTAGTTAGGGCCATTTATCAGTCTGTAACTTAATCTGAGGAGAGCTGGGGCTCTGATTTGAGCGCTGTGGCACAAACCACAGCGCCGCAGCACTGCCTCAGGAAGACCGAGGACAGAGCTCCAGCCACCCAGGGAAACGCAGACAGGGGCCGACACGGCCCCCGGAGCAGGTGCTGCAGGGTAGGGGTGGGGGAGTCCTGACTCAGTATCAGCCGGGCGTGCTGTTTTCTTAGAAAAGCTGTTCCTAGGGGGATGAAAGTGCATGAAAGCACTTAAGCAAAAAAAAAAAAAAAAAAAAAAATTAAATTAAAAAAATTAAAAAAACCAAACCCCAAAAACCCTGCTTAAGATCAACTAACTCTCCTTACCCTGATACCTTACTGACAAAATAACTTTGACCGCAGTCTCGCCGCCCATCTCACATGAGCTGCCTGAGAACTTGAAAAGAATGAAGTATTTGATCTGACAAAAACCCTGGATGAAGCCCAGGGCTGGTTATGATCAGGGGCTGAGTGCCCCTGCCCCACGAGCTTATCAGCCGCTCCCCGAGCAGGCTCAGCCTGGCACCACATTCTTCTCATCTCCCTTCACCTCTGCGGCCCCTCGCGGCCCCTCCTCTCTCTCTGGCTTCTGGCTGGCAGTTTCTGAGAGGCTCCCTGGCTATCGATGCTGGCTGCTTACTAGCATCAGCTGAGGAGCTTCCAAAGCATGCCCGCAACTAGGCCGCCCAGCAACGGATCGGCGCGGGCCTGGGCATGAGTGTTTTTCCAAAGCTCCTGCCAGGGCCGAGGACCAGCAGCCCAGGAGACTTTATTAACATTAGGTGTCCAGCCCCAAGTGCGTATCTTTAGCACAAGAGTTCTCACGGGCCCAATGGCTCGAGTGACATCTGTGTCACCGTCTCTGTCTTAGTAAGTCCAAGATTGAACTCCTTACTCCACCCCCCCAATGAACTGTTCCCCTCTCAGCTTTCCCTCAGTAGTTGCCATCTCCGCTCAGGCGCAGAACTCAGAAAAACAGGAATTGTCCTGCTTTCCTGACTTTTGTTCACACTCACAGAAGTTTCTTTCTGTTCTAAAAACACTCTGAAAGCCCTGATCAGTGTGGCTCAGTGGACTGAGCACCGGCCTGCAAACCGAAAGGTCGCCAGTTCAGTGCCTGGCCAGGGCACACACCTGGGTTGCAGCCCAGGTTCCCAGTAGGGGGCGTGTGAGAGGCACTGATGGATGTATCCTTTGCACATCAACGTTTCTTTCCCTTTCTCCTTTCCTTCCCTTCTCTCCAAAAATATTTTTTAAAAATGCTCTGCAAATGCATCAGCTCTGCCCCACCTTCACTGCTGTCACTTGGACTAGGAAGGCTTCGGTCCCCATGTACAGTGACGATGACCGCCTATTAGTGAGCCTCGAACCAGCGAAACTGCTCCGCGGGGATTATAATGGTGGGCGCGTGCGACTATACATTTGCCCAAAGCTGTGCAGTGACCCTCACACACACCAGGCTCTGGACGATGACGATGTGTCAGCGCAGGTTGAGTGGCCGTAACAAAGGTGCCACTGTGGTACAGGGTGGAGGCTGGGAGGGCAGAGGCTGGGAGAGCTGGGGGCGTATGAGGCTGTGCTGTGCCTTCCGCTGAATTTTGCGGTGACCCTAAAACTGCTCCAGAAAGTGAAGCCTGAGTAAAACCATAGCTGGGACACAGCGGCGCCTTCCCGGAACCGCTCCAGGCCACCTGCTCCCTGGAGTCCACAGTGAGGGGGAAGGGACGTGGGGAGAGGGAGCCTTCATTTTGAACTTAGAACCATGCGCATGTGTTGCCGAGCAGAAGTTCGTCTTGTTGAAGTGCACAGAACGGTGTGCCTCGTCCAGCTGACGAGGAGGGTGAGGCTGATACGATTTAGGCCGATCATGTCTTTGTGGGAGAAAATTAAGGTCGCTGTCTAAGTCTGTCTGCGCGAAAGCACACCCACACCAGACAGGGTCCCTTTCCCTCCTACGTGGCTGTCGTCTCGAGGATCTGAGGAGCGACCAGGGAAGGGCAGCACGGCCCACTGGCACTAGGACCCCGCTCAGGCGTGGCCAGGGGGACGCGGTGGCTCCCCAGGTCCTGCCCCGGCAAGAACTGGGCACGGCGCCCAGATCGGCCAGGGGCGCTGAGACCCACCCCAGGCTCCCCAGCAAGCTGAGTCCTGTGCCTGCTGCCCGGTGCGCGCTGCGCACGACCTGCAGAGCCTGGCCACACGCTGGGACTGGTTCGGGCTGCGTGGTTCCGGGGACGTCATGCACAAATCGGGTGAGGTCGCTGCTCTGGGCCACCTACGTCCCAGTGGAATAAGCAAGCAACTAAGGTAACTTCAGGTGATGGTGAGTTGTGGACAGAGAATAAGTTACGGGGAAGAAAACGGGTTTGACCGTGGCCTTGCTGTCCTCCGAGTGACCAGAGGAGGTGTTTCTGAAGGCAGCTCGTCAACTGACAACCGGAACCCAGGTGTGTGGGCTCTGTGGGAAGAGTCTCTGGAGCAGGACAGGGCTGAGCAGAGACCCAGGCGGCAGGCCTGCTCAGCGGGTGCTGGGTGTACGGAGGGAGTGGGGCGGGGCGGGGCGGGGCAGGGGCAGGGGCGGGGGCGGGGGCAGGGCAGGGGCAGGGGCGGGGCCAGACGCAGGGGCCTGGCGGGCACGCTCGAGAGCTGGGACTTTATTCCAAGTGTCACCCCTGGAAGCTCAAGTCACGGGAGTGACATGGTTTTTCTGATGCTCTGGAAGACCCCCCAGCCTGGCCGTAAGAGTGGTAGACGGGGCACCGCGCGGGCAGCTCTGGAGGAGCGCAGGTGGAAAAGACGACGGCAGTGACCGCGAGGACGGAGGAGAGCAGGCAGACGGCACACTTCACAGGTGGGCACGGAGAGGCCTGGGCGGGGGGGCGAGGCTGAACGGAAACCCAAGGCGGCTCCCAGGTTGGAGGAAGATGCTATTAATGGCAGTCAGTACTCATGGGTTCTTCAGAGCTTATAGGTCAGGCAGGGTCCCCAAGGCTGTGTCTCTCTCTCGCTCACTCACTCGCTGACTCTCGTGGGGAGATCCCTATGACAGCCCTCCTTCTACAGAGCAGGAGCCTGAGGCACCAGGCTGTCCAGTCACGCGGCCCCGGCCGTGCAGGTGAGCACGGGGGCCGACTGCTGCCCTGGCTGCCCTGCTGCTGGCTCCCGGGGACGTGGAGAAGGACAGGCCGTTCACTGAAGGGGACACTTGAGGAAGAGGACGGGTTCAGGTCCCTCCGTGGAACCTGGCCCCACAGCAGTCCATGCCTCACTCGACAATGGCCACCCGAGCCCGGAGGGCCAGGTGTGGGGACGGGCAGCGAGCGAGGGGCTCCGCCAGGGCACAGAGGAGTGGAGTGGACAGTGGAACGATGGGGGAGTCTAGCAGGAGACTGTCACCTGTTGCACAGCCAAACGCTGGGCAGGCCTGGAGGGCACAGGCTGGCGCCCCCAGGGCTGCCTCTCTGCGAGGGACGAGGCACACGGCTCACCAACCCCCGCGCCGTGTGCCTTCAGTCCCACCGCCCACGGCATGGCCAAGAGCTTGGTGTCAGAGCAAAGCCCCAGCAAACGGCCCTTGGGGGGACTCGAGCCGGCAGCCCCTGGACCACAGTGCAGCTGTCGCTTCCTTCCCGCTTTGTAACCAGAAGGGCAGCGAGCGTGCGGTGGGAGCCACGGCCAACTCAAACCTCTCGGCGTGGGCACGGCTGGCACGTCCCACCCCAGGACCCCAGGACACGGTCGGTCTGAGAGTCGACTCACAAGTGGCATCAACACACTATCGTTTCTAATAAAGGGGGACGATTTTCGATGCTTACCACGGCTTCAGAGGTGGACAGGTGTTTCCGCAGCCCCGTCCTGGGGAGCGTCTCTGCCGGACTCAGCAGGTGCAGCTTCAGTTTGCAGAAGAGGATCTTGAACGGGAGAAGCGTGTGCACTGAGACCCAGCAGGAGAGGAGCCTCTCGCACTCCGACGGGCCAGGTTGGCAGCCCGGGGAAGACGCGCCGCCCGCGGCCCCAGGTGCGTAGGTTCCCCTTTGGTGCTGCTCTCGGGCTTAAAGGCTTTGAAGTAATGACTCTCAATGTGCGGGAACGTGAACTGACATACTTTTCAGATAACCAACATAAAATAGCACATACAAATTCAGAAGAAATCTCCCTTTAACCCCCGAGTAAGAAGTATATTTTATAAAAGAACCAAAATGTAGCTTTACCTCGCGAAGCTGATGATTACTCGTTATAAGAAACTGTTCTCCTGCAACAAAATGGGCTTCCTGCTCCAGCTCCTTGAGACGGGACTGAATGTGAGGGAAACACAGTCTCATTACCAGTCTGCCAGCATCGCCACGCCTGAGCTGCGGGCCGTGGTTATGTGAAGTCAGGGCGATTTGAACCCAAGCACAGTGACACCCCAGCAGCCATCTGGTAAGTGACCACCGGTCAGGGACACAGCAGGGGTGTGCTGGACGAGGGAGGACTCCCATCCCAGGTGGGACAGGGCCGGACAGCCAACGGTCTCGTCACCATACTCAGAATACTGTGCAAGTTAAGACCTATGAGTTGTTTATTTCTGGAATTTCCCACATCGTATTTTCAAACCATGATTAACTTCAGGTAACTGACACTGTGGATAAGGGGGGACTGCTGTCCAAAAATAATTTTGCATTCTATTTTTCACTCTTAACATTCTAAGTTTTTCTATTCCACAAAAAAAATATATTAGTAAACATAATTTTGAATGACTACATGACTTCTACTGCACTATTATACTATCGCTTGTTTAACCAAACCTCTGCTATTGGACCTGTAAGTAATTTTTGGTTTTTAGCTATTATAAATAATATTGCAATGCACATTTTTATAAAAACATCTGTAACAGCTCCATTCCTAATAGATAAACACTAACTCAAATCTATGCTTGGAAGAGTAGATAAGCAAATTGTTCTATATTTACACCATGAAATAGTACTCAGCAATATAAAGAAACAAACTTCCAATAATCTCAAAAACATTATATCGAGTGAAGGACACCAGACACCAAAGAGAGCATGCTGTGTGATTCTGTTTACGTGAAGTTGCAGAACGGGCTAAATGGAGCTCTGGAAGTGGAGGTGAGAGCGGTGGGTGCCTCTTGGGGGTGCAGCTGGGTGTGTGCGCATGTAAAAGCCCATCCCACTGTACACTGAAGCTTTGCGCCCAGGGGGTGCTGGGAAGGTGGCAGAGGAGGAAGCCCCTGTGAGGAGAGAGTCTGCCTCCCCATCCGGACAACACCTGCAGGGGGCAGGCTCTCTCCGACGGGGCTAAGTGGGGACTCTGGAGTCTGTGGAAGGGTCGCACCTTCCAGGGGAGGACCTGGAGGGTAAATTGTGGTTCATTCTGGTCAACGCGGCCCCTAGCACAGCAGCAGCTCCCATCCCCCATCCAGCCGGGGGCAGGCAGCTGGGCACGCGCCCCTGCAGCAGCCCACACCCCGCTCGCAGGAACCAAGACGGGCAAGCAGGGCCTTGTGTTCCAAGCATCGGGGGCCTGGGCGCCGATCGGTGGTTGCTGCTCCTAATCACAGAGAGGCAGAGAGCGGGGGAGCAGCCATTGCTGTGGCACCTCCAGCCACCGCACCCCCCTTGTCCCCCGCCCTCGCAAGTCCTGCCCCCCTCTGGCTGAAGTCACTTGCAGGGGCTTGAAAGGTCCGGTGCCCTTCTTTACCTCCACTCATTTTTTACTCTTTCTCCTTTCAGGAGCCAGACATTAGAGACAAGGACATTCAAAAACAACTGTACATACAGGGAACACTAAAAAGTGAGACCATGCCCAGGACTGTCTCAGGAAAGGCCCGAACAGACCTCAGGTTTACCCACAGATAGTGCTCCATGGAGACAACCTACCATAAGCAAAGGGTCCAAACAAAAATACAGGGAGAGCGAACCCTGGGAAAGGGGAGAATGTAATTTCCATAACATTATTGGAATCAAATGCCCAGTGCTCAACAACGACAAAAAAATCACAGGTCTACAAAGAAACAGGGAAGCATGGCCCATAGAAAGGAAAAAGGTCACAGACACTGTCCCTAAAAAAGACCCGATGGAAGATCTACAAGACAAAAATTCTAAAACAACTGTCTCAAAGACGCTCTGAGAAATAAAGGAAGATGGGGAAAAATCAGGAAGAAAACAATGGAAACTGTCGAAGCTGAGCCACAGAAGAACAAAGACTGAAGAACCGTGGAGAGCGCCTAAGGACCCCGTGGGGCACCATCAAGGGCAGAAATCCCTGAGGGAGAAGGGGGCAGGGGCACCAAGGATATTTGAAGATATAATGGCTAAAAACTTCTCAAACTTACGAAAGATATGAATATAAACATCCAAGTAGCTCAACAAACTTCTGGTAGATGAACTCAAAGGGATCATCAACGAGATCAATACCAAGATGCATTATGATCAAAGTTCCAAAAGACAAAAACAAAGAGAGGCTCTTGAAAGCAGCAAGGGAGGCAAAGGATCATCAGAAAGATTATAAGCAGATTTCTCACCAGATCTTTACAGGCTAGAATAAGTGGGCCACTGTATTCAAAATGCGCAAAGAAAACGACTGTCAACCACGGCGCTTATCTGGCAAAGCTGTCCTTTCAGGGTGCGGGATACACTGAGACATTTCCGGGAGAACAGAAGCTGAGGGAGAGGGGACCGAGGTCCTGGAGAAACAGAGGCACCTGGGGCGCCTGGGGCTCCCACGACAGAGCCAGCGGCTCCAAGCTGCAGAAGAGGTGGAGCTCTCCATAAAGACAATCACACGGGCAGTTATAAGACCATGTTATTGTAATAATGGGAACTACACCTTCTGTTTTCTACACAACCTAAGAAATAAACAATTGAGTGGAAAAGCTGATATTACTAAAACTTCCGTTTGCATCCCCAATTTTGTTTTCTACATAATTTCAGAAACTAATGCATTTAAAAAATTATCAGTTTATGTTTTGGGGAGCGCAGTGCATAAAAACGTGATTTTGTGACAGCTGAAAGGGGTGGGGCAGAGCTGCCAAGGGACAGCACTTCTGTGCGTTACTGAAGTGAGGCTGGCACACATTCGAGTTGGAGTGTTGTAGCACTATGACGTCACCCCTGACACCACAAAGATGTCAACCACAAAGAAAACAGCTATAGGATACACACAAAAGGAAATGAAAAAGGATTTTGAACACCAAAAACACAGTAATGCAGGAAATGAGGAACAAAAAAGCTATAGAGCTTATGGAAAACAAGTAGCACAATGATAGATCTAAGTCCCTCCTTATCAGCAATTACTTAAATATAAATGGAATAAAGTCTTCAATCAAGAGACATAGATTAGCAGAATGGAAAAAACACATGACCCAACTACATGCTGTCTAGAAGAGACTCCCTTTAAATTCAATGACACCAACTGCTTAAAAGTGAAAAGATGGAAAAAGATATTCCATGCAAATAGTCACCATTACAGGGCAAAGGTGGCTACATTAATATCAGGCTCTAAATCAAAACTGGTTACAAGAGACAAAGGATGACATTATATATTTGATGCAGTGCAATGATAGAACAGTTATAAACATTTACACTCCAAATGACAAACCATCAAATATATGAAGAAAAACTAACAGAATTGTAGAAAAAAATAGACAGTTCTACAATAGTTGGAGACTTGAATACCCTATTCAACAATAATGAATAGAAAAACCTTGTTGATAGCTATGAAAAACTCTGGGAATTTTGACTAGGATTGTGTTAAATTTATAGATCAATTTGGGGATCATTGGCATATTAATTTTGAGTATTCTAAACCATGAATATGGGATATCTTTTCATTTACAGGGCTTCTTTGATTTTTTTTATCAGTGTTTTGTAGCTTTCAGCATACAGGTTTATATCTAGTGTTTTGAGATGCTATTATAAGGGCATTGTTTATTTAATTTCAGTGTCTAATTGTTCATTGGCAATATGTAGACATACAATTGATTTTTGTATATTGACTTTACATCTTGGTACCGTGATAAACTCATTTATTATTCCTGGGAAGTTTATTGTTGTTGCCACAAAATCTTCTAGAGAAGTTTTCAGTTTACGTTGCCCATATCCAAGAGAGGAATCGCTATCTATGGCAGCTGTAGCCTAAAGAAATGTATTTCTTCAATAGCAAGACTTGGACATTGAAACTGCTCCCTGATCCACAGGCTGCAGGATGAGCAAGCAGCCACGAGGACAATATTCACCTCACTCAGAGCTCCTGGGTGACCAGGAGCATTGTCGGTGAGCAGTCCTATTTTGAAAGGAATCTTTCTTTTTTCTGAGCAGGTCTCAACAGTGGGCTCAAAATTCTCGGTAACCCACGCTGCAACCAGGGGGTCCACCCTGCCGCCTGCAGCCCACAGGCAGCCCAGGACAGCTGTGAATGCAGCCCAATGCAATATCTTAAATTTGCTTAAAACATTAGGAGATTTTTTTTGTGACTACATGTCACAGGGTATTTAATGTGTGGCCCAGGGCAGCTCTTCTTCTTCCAGTGTGGCAGAGACGACAAAAGGCCAGACTGCCCTGTGTCCTAGGCTTTGTCATTGAATTTACAGAGCACAGGCAGAGTAAATTTAGCATAATCCCTTACAGTAAGCGTGCACTGGCTTCAGCTTAAAGCAGCAGCTGCATCAGCCCCTCAGAGGAGAGTCAGCCTGTCCCTGAATCTCTGAAGCCAGGCCCTGATGTCTCCTCTCCAGCCATGAGGGTCCTGGATGGCATCTTCTTCCAGTAGAGGTCTGCTTCATCTATGCTGAAAAGCTGTTGTTCAGTGCAGCTGCCTTCATGAACTCTCTTAGCTGATCTTCTGGAGAACTTGCTACAGCTTCTACATCAGCACTTGATTGTTCACCTGGCACTTTTTGAGGCTGGTTTGATCTGCCCAGACCCCTAAAACTGTCTCATGTGTTCACTGGAGTAGCACTTTTAATTTCCTTCACGAATGTTTCATTTGCATTCACACTTGTTTGTTTTGTGCAAGAAGCCTAGCTTTCAACCTATCTCGGCTTTTGACATGCTTTCCTCACCAAACCAATCATTTCTAGCTTTGGACGTAAAGTGAGAGGCATGAGACTCTTCCTTTCACTTGAACAGGTAGGGGCCATCATAAGGTTATTACCTGGCCCAATTTCAATATTGCTGTGTGCCAGGGAAAGGGGAGGCCTGAGGACAGGGACAGGGACGTGGGAATGGCCGGCTGGTGCAACAGTCAGAGTACATGTTTACTAAGTTCTCTGTCTTACGTGGACTGGTGACTGGCATCCCAAAACAATTACATCCCAAAACAAAGATCGCTGATCACGGATCACCAAAACAGAATCACGATGGAAAAATTTGAAATGCTGTGGGAATTACTAAAATGTGACACAAAGACAGGAAGTGAGTAAATGCTATTGGAAAAGTGACGTGGACAGACTTCCCTGACACAGGATAACCACCAGCCTTGGATTTGTAAAAAATGCAGTATCTGGAAAGCACAATAAAGCTAAGAGCAATAAAACAAGCTGTGCCTGTACTTAGGCACTAACTTGACCAAGGAGCTGGAAGACTTGTGCAATAAACACTACAAAACATCACTAAAACTTAAAAAGACACACAAATGGAAACACATCTCATGTTTGGACTGGAAGGCTTAATATACTAAGACGTCAACATTGCTCAAGTGACCTACAGAGTTAATTCGATCCCTGTCTATCAAAATCCAATGACTTTTTTTTCAGAAATAGAAGAATCCATCCTAAAATTCATATGGAATTTCAAGACACACTGAGTAGCCAAAAGTCTTGAAAGAGAATAACAAAACTGGAGGCCTCACACGTCCTGATTCCAAAACTCACTACAAAGTCCAGAAACCATACGGCACGGCCCCAGCGTGAACACGGTGCGGAGACCCAGGGACAAAGCAGCACGTTGAGACGTGGGGCTCACGTGCGTGGTCACGTGATGCGGCATCATTCTGTCCTCGCCAAATGGCTGCTCTAAAGCCTGATGCCTGGGGTGGGGGGTGGTGGGGGTGGGCAATGCCAGGACCCCATGTGCACTGCTGGCAGGCGAGACCCGGCAAAGCATTGGCTGAGCATCCCATCCCCGCGCCCCCACCCGCGGCAGCCCCACCCTGCCTTGCCCCCCTGAGAAGCATGTGCTCAAGCCCGAGACACGCTCAGTGCTGCAGCGCGGTTCGTGATGACTGCAGACTGGAACAGCCCAGGTGCCTATCGACAGTGGGACAGAGTCGTGCCATGGGGACCACAGCACAAGCGACACAGGGCACAGCTGAGCGAAAGCTGTCAGGCCCAGCTGGTAACCTGCAGCTCTACAGGAAGCTGAGCGCACAGTTGGGGCACCAAAAGGAGGGACTGCGAAGAAAAGCAGCGGTGCAGCGACTTCCGACGGGGCGCTGGCAGGCAAGGGTCTACTAGGGGTTTAAGTGGAACATTTTAATGCATATTTTTCTGCTTCTTTATGTGTTCCTCTGTGTTTTTTATTTATTCACTGTTAGCTGTGTTTTTGCTTTTTTAAAGACTCCAAGAAACCCATGACTCTCCTCAGCAAACTACAGGGGACAATGTTCTTGCAAGAACCTAATGTGAGCAGGTCACTGAGGCTCTGTGAAGCCCAGCGCACATCCACGCAGGACAGCAAACACATGCAACCCGTGTTTGAATCCTTTCCCTGCGTGGCTGCCCAGCCGGCCTCACAGGGTGGAGACACGGGTCAGCTGGGTCTGGGAAGAAAAGGGAAGTCGCCCTGGACCGGCCACAGGATCAACTTGTCAGGACAGAGTGCGCTACCGAAGCAAAGGGTCTCTGTAACCACGTACCCCAAGAAGCGCTGAGGTCCTCTCCAAGTCTTCCTTGTTCACCCGAATGCTGTGGCTTTCCATCACTGTGGTGTAAAAACCAGAGCAGAGCAAAGCCGCATCAGTGACTCACTTCTGTGAGAGACAGCGGGGGGAGCGAGCCGCACTCCCTGAAGAGGCAATGTGTCCCTCAGGGCCAGTATTCAGGCCCAGCAACGGTGGCAGTGGGCATGGGGACACGTACTGGCAGCCGCAACCTCTAGAGGGAGCTGGGCGAGGCTCTGCTCTCCGGCACCCAGCAGGACCTGGGCAGAGGGGGCGGAGGGGCCACGGCAGGACGACCCCTGCCACATTCCTCTGGGGTTGCACCTGGACGGATGACACCTGCTGACCTGCACGGCCTCCAGACGGGCTCTGCCCCCCTCACTCTGCTCTCTAGAACCTGGGAGCCAGGAGGGCGGCGGCCCCTTGGCTAGGGCGCCCAGGTCCAGGCAATACGGAAGGGGCCCATGGGACTGAGATGTCAGAGCCGCTGGTCCCTCTACAACAGGGGCAACGTGGTCTGACCCCTGTTGTTACCGAAAGGGAAGTGAAGGGCCTGCTCCCCCTTCAGTGCCTGTGCGACACCCTACCTGCCCCGAATGCATTAACAGGGCGGCAGTCCTTCCCGGCAGCACACAGAATTCTCCAGAAAGCGACTGTATGTCATCTTTGTGGTAGCTTACCTGCCAAAATTGGTATCAGAGGAAGCTCCAAAGTACAAAATAGTTGCCATAAACCATAAACCTGTTTTGTAGGAAGAAATATTGATGTTACTTTTCAACGGTTATCTCTACCTGCGAGCTGCTGTGCAGCCTTCTTACGTCTGTGAGCTGAATTCAGGCAAAGCTGGCAGGGGCGGGTGGTCTCCCCCACAGCCTCCCCTCCCCCGGCCCCGGGCCCAGCCAGTGTCCTACTGTGTCAGTCTTACCAAGACCTAGGAGAGGCGTTTAGAAATGGGAGCACACCCCACCCCAATTTTCTTTCCTCTTTCTCATTTGTAAGTGTGATACAGGTATTTGTGGACTTTCAGGCTTCCCCTTCAATTTCAGGATAGGTTAACTGGATTCCTAGCAATACGGCTAGCATTTTCACTGATTTTGCAGCAACTGCACAGACGAACGTGGGGGAGGGCGATCGTCCCATTGGGTCACGCCCGCTGAGAGGGAGAAGCAGGGATCCCGCTGTCAGACCGCCTCCTGTGCTCTTTCTCAGAGCCCCGTCTCTTGCTTCTTCCATCTCTTCCGTTCCCTGCTGCCGGCTGAGGGCCCGTGGCCTCGCCCACTCCTCTGTGGCCCTCCTGTCCTCGGCCTGCCCCTGCAGACTGCTCCTCTGCCCTGCACCCCCAGCCCGCACCGCCTGGGCTCTCCCTCTCCACTTGTGCACGGGGCACCGCAGGCTGCACCCTGCCCGTGGCCACAGCCCCTGACGCCCGCTCCGGACCAGCAGGCCCCGCAGGGCCAGCTGCTCTCCCAGGTCCAGGCACCGGCTGGCCCTTCAAGCCCAGGATGGGAAAGCTCCTAGTCTGCGCCTGTGCCTGGAGGCTTCTCCAGCCCAGACTGGCCCCTTGCCTTATACACAGCCCCTTCTTTCAACTCTTCTGGATCAGATGCCCTCTGCTTCACAATGAGACCAGGTGGTGCTGTGTCCATTTGACCACTCACTAAGGTCACTCTCAGCTTTCACGTTAACTGCAGCATAAGAAATGTTCCAACTGCTTTGGAGGCTTTTAAAAACGTTACAATGGTTAACCCACAGGAAACATCCTAAAAACTTCAGGGCTTCTCGTCTGGACTCCCCCTTTACGAGTGGCACCGTTAACCTGGCCCCAGCGCTCCGCGCTGGCAACGCTGCAGGCACCGCCCCTGTGCGCGTGGGAGCAGGGACACACGGCCGGGGACCGGTGGGCGAGAGCGCCTGCGCCCGAGGGGTGGGATGCCTTGCCTTCAGCCGCGAGCAAAGGTCCATCGTGAGCCTGTAGAGAATCCTCAGGTTTGCACATACGTTCTCGTTCTTTAAAAGATCAAAAGAATTTAAAATCAGGCACAGTTGGCAGCAACGGTCGTCACAACCTAGGAGGTGACACGACTCACAGAAGCGTTTACCAGGTCGCACGCGTCTTTCCACGGCAGACAGCACCCACCTGTGGCGTCCCCTGTCCCTTTTGGGGGACGAGCTCCTCGTGGGCGAATGCCAGCGGCCTGCCGCCTGACACGTTCTCCCCAGCCCACGCTTTCGCTCCTTCCCCAGGCAATGAGCCATGAAGAGGCCAAGCGCCCAGAGTGTGAAGACTCCACGACGGCAGAGACAGGAGGACAGGGACGTCGCCTCCGGGCCCCCACAGCCTCCACCCTCCGAGAGGAGCAGAGGGGCCACGCCCCATACTCACCGTCCCCTCCCACCTGGACGTCAAGCAGGGCCTGCCGCAGCCCCCCACCATGGGCCCGCGTCCCGCTCTCCGCCCGGAGCCCCCGCACCCTAGGCCAGCCAGACTCGGGCCTCGGCCGCACCGGGCAGGGCCGGCTGCACACATGCAGCGTTTGTTTTCTTGTTGGCCCCGGGCTCGGTTCCGCCATGAACAACTGGGCGGGGGCTCCGTGAGCGCAGCCACGTCCACTTCTCGGCCACACTGCCACCTGCATGAGCCTTCTGCACAAGGAGGTGGCCAGGCGCTCCCATGCAGAACAGCTCTCCAGCCCGAGCTCCCAGGACATGAGCGAGCTCCTTGGCAGCCCGGTCCCTCGTCTCCTCCTCCTTCTCCTCACGTGGGGCCGCGCTGCTCCCCACAGGGGCCACGCCCTCCCGTGACTCCCCACTGCCTCCACGCTGCCCCTCCACCCAGAGTTCCCTTTCCCCTTCCTGAACTATCCGCACCCCTCAGAGCGGCGCACTGCGGCTCACTTCACCTCCACCGCGTGCCGTGCAGGCCTCCACAGCGGACGTGTGGCTGGACACGTGCATGTGCAACACACGGGACGCTCCTGCAAGGCTGGTGTGGACGAGGCCTGGCGGGGAGCTCCCGGGGGAACCCGAGGGGCGGCGGGGGCCGCCAAGTGGACGAGTCCCCCCGCACTAGTCAGAGAGAGGGCGGGCCCGCTGACCGGGTGCTCTGCTCCCCGCAGCCACCCCCCGGCACTCACAGGCCACGCTAGGAGAAACCCAGGCATCAGGGTCAGAGATCCACACTTTGCCCGGGGTAGGGGCGCGTTACGCTGACCTCTCTGCGCCTCTGTCTTCTCACCTGTAAACTGGGACGGGTGACACTGAGGTGGACAACTCCTCTCAGTACTCAGATCTCAGCTTCTGTTTGGGGGCAGCCTGGAACCTGGGGAGGACTGCACATCTTGTGCCCCTCCCCTCCAGGGGACAAACATGTGGCACGGTGACAAAAGGGACACATGATAAATAGGTCGTGGTTTGCAGCCAGCCCTGGCCTGTGGGCTCCTTCTCCCTGGGTCCTCAGAGCCTGGTTCCGCTTTTCCTCAGTCTGTGAACTACCCCATACCCCTCAGACAAATGCCCTTTGTAAACTAAGGGACAGCAGGCTTCTGTTTTCAACCCCGCGCCTCTATTAGACGCAGACAGCGTGTGAAGAGAAGGGCAGGCAGCCAGCATCCCCAGCTCAGGGCAGTGGGCACGGCAGGTTCACACCGCCACCAGCTGGCTCCCTGGATGCCACCCTCAACATCAGTGCCCGCTGCCCGGCACGATCTTTGAGTCCTGCTTTGACCTGCCGCTGTGAGCCCCCATCGAGGGGCCGGAGATGGCAGGCATGGCTGGGCCCCTGCGGCTCCCACGCGGGTGCCTGCTGCAAGGCGACAGCGGGTCCCCCTCTCGCTGGGCTCAGGGCCCAAGCTCCCAAACTGCGAGCGCCCTTGCTTCCGGAAGGCGGCCATGGACCGGAGAGGCTCCGTCCAGTCCCTCTGACCCACCACCACATTGCCAGCACCAAGAACTGCCAACCAAGCAGCCCTCTGCTCACTGAGCAGGCGGCTCTGCTGCCAGAGTCCGATCATTGGATTCGCCAAGAACGCGGTTTCCCGGTAACGGCTTCCCGGGGGCCCAGGAATCGCCCAGCTGACTCCCATCCTCTACCAGAAATGCCAGGCAGAAGCACTCGTGCGGGAGGAGGGAAAATGAACACCAGCAGCATCCTTTTACTCCTGGGCTGCCTCTGAAGTAGGGTTTCCAGAGAAAAATTAGGGCCGCGTTAAGGTTGATAACATCTTATCTTAAAAGGACTCACCACGGCATTCCTTGAGGAGTGTCTGTACATGCTGTGCACATTTACCGTGGTGGAGTTTTCACAGTATTTTGCCACTAACTCTTCAAAGGACGGCGCAGCATCACGAGGGTCGATAAGCCAGGCAGCAATGCGAGGGTCTATCCCCACAAAACCAGCAACTGCAGAGGGGGCGGGGGTGGGGGGCGGGGAGAGAGAGCGCGCACTCGTCCAGGTCACGTGAGAACGCTCAGGTCCGGAGGCGCTGTGCTCTCCCCTGATCTCACAAGGTTCTCTAGGCTCCAATTAATGGTCCTGGTGTCACCATCCCCTCAAATGCAAAGCCAAGTTCCAAAAGATGTTCTCTCAATATGAAGGAATTTCGAACCCCTGACCAGCAGCCTCCATAAACTCAGGTCTCAAAAGGCCAATCTCCATGGGAATTGATCCCAAATACCCCAAAGTGGGGGAGGCTCCAAACTAACTCGGAATTTGGGTCTCTCAAAATGTTAACTGTGGTCCAAGTCAGAATCCTCAGCCACACTCCCCGCCTCCTCCCCCTCTTTCTCTCCCACTTCACAGTCCATATAAACCCTCTTCCCATGCCCCGCCCCCGACTCCGGCACCCTTCCCAGGCCACCTGGACCCTGCAGCAGCGCACTGGGGTGCTCAGGAACCCAAGCATCATGGTTCGGAGCTGCCAAGCCCACGGCATGGGGTTCAGGGAGGGAGGGCGGGCGGGGTGTGTGAGGACCGGACACGACCGGACACGGACACGTTGGGCATGTGCCCTGCCTGCCACGAGGATGTCCTGTGAGACAGCCAGATGTGTGAAAAGAGCCAGCGGGACTGGCCTGGGAGCCTGGGAGGTCGCGGCACCCGAAGTGCTAGTTCTCTCACCTGAAAACCTGGTGGAAAGAGGACTGTGTGTATGTGTGAGACACATGTGAAGGTGCTTGTTACAAAATTAGAACATTTGCTAAATAGGTACATTTCCATACCAGGGTACTTTAGACACAGAGGTGGAGATATAAAAGGCAGGGGAGCTCATAAATTAAGAAGTAGATCTGAACCCTGAGGGATTGCTTTTTAAGTTCTTGCAACATTCTGAATTGTGCCGTACAAAAATAAGGAGTTTGCCTTCCAACAAACTGCAGTCTTAGATCACATAGATCACATCACGTTGCACACGGCATCGTCTGGCAGCCTTAAGCTATGCTCTAAGAGATTTACATGTATCACGGCGGCCAGCGTCACGAGATTTTTGTTTGCTGTCTGGGGGTCTCTCGCGCTGGCAGAGCCAGCGTGCGGGAGAAAACACAGTGGCAGTCGGCTGGCTGCCTGCCACCCCCGCCAGCGGGGTGTGACTTTACGGAACACTGGTGACGCTAACTGGCCCAGTGGGGCTCTTTCATTCTGCTTGTCTCTTTGAAGCTCTGATATTCCAAAACTAAGGATTCTTATCAACGTATATTTTTGAAAGTCCAGGCCAGGCTGGAATGGTTGGGGCTGAGCCCCGAACAGCTGTGACGCGCACACTGAGGCCTGCCAGGGCAGGCGCCGCACGGGGAGAGGAGGCCGGCGGTGGAGAGAGAGGTGACAACAAAACCGGCTCTGAATGAGCGAGGAAACATAATATAGCAGGAAAATAACAAAATCTTTGAAAAATAAATCAGAATTAGAAATACTTAGAAATTAGGTGACATAAAAAAAGAAAAACTGAACAAAGATATGAAAGAATTCAGGAAAGGGAAATAAAACAAAATTTTAAGAACTAAAAATATTTCAGAAGGAAAAACTGCCAACACACAAAAACATATAAATGTAATAAATAATGCCTTAGTTTAAAAAGAAAATAGAAGAGAGGAATTTTTTTTAAATAAAAAAGAAATGAAGAGATTAAAAACAGATTCTAGATAAGTGCTAAATATGAAAGACCAGCGTTAACACATGAAATAGGAGTTCAAACATCACCAAAAAGACAGACAACATGATGTAACTCCTGACAGGACACAGCGCCACTTAGGGTCTGGGTCAGGGTCAGGGTCAAGGTCATGCAGCAGCCTTGTCCTCCCACAATCCAGCAGGAACCTGAGCCAGCCTCCGGATCTAGCTGCCAATTTACAAGAAACAGGAGCAAGAGGAGCATGTCAATCGGCAAGAAGGGGATGTGATCGCCAAGTCCCGACTGTGGGAACTCCACAGGACGAGCAAGCTGGTCCCATTAACCATGGGACCATAACAGCAAGGACATAAAACTGAAGGAGAGAACAAACAGATTAGAAGAGACTTAAGAAATATATCACACCTAACCCAGGTATGGCTCTCAATTTAAACAAACTAAAGGACAAAGACAACCACGCAAAAATACTTAAGGACTACTGGGAAGTACTGTACAAACACTGACTGGGTATCTAATAACATTAAAAGATCACTGCTAATTTTGGGGGGCATATAACGATGATGGTATCATCTTAAAGACAAAATCCTCGTATTTCACATACTTGAAATATTTACAGCTCAATCACACGGTGCTTGGGACCTGCTGTGAATAACCAGGGGCACGGAAACGCGCGCCCTTGTGGAGGAAGAAGGCTGGGCACGGCGGCGATAGCCACCATCGGGGGACGGTGCTCGGCTGTGTTCAGCGCCCCTCTGACAGCGGGTGTGTGGGCTTCCACGCCCCCCTTCTCCAGTCCTCTGTAGGCACCAGCTGGGGGTCCAACGACTCAGTTCGGTTCTGACACTGAGTACCCGCGCTGGTGCAGGCCCTGCGGATTCTGGGCTCGGCCCCGCAACTCTGTTCCCGCGCCAGGTGCTCGACCCAAGTCCTGGGCCTCTTGTGGTCCCAGCTGATCAGCTGTCACTCACCGTGCTTCCAGCTGCCATCATCACCCAAAAACTGTAGCACTGTTCTCACAAAATCCTTAGCATCATAACAAACGACAGGACAGTCACATTTCAGTATTTGAAACAGCAAGTTCCTGGAAGATGAAAAGAAATTCACTGATTTAGACATGAAGTGACAACGTTCGACCCTGGGAAAATAGTAGTACTACTGCACTTAACAGCTGTCACTTACTCGGTGCTCAGTGGCCGACAATCTTCTTCTAAGGGCTTTATATACATTGCCTCAAAAATCCCATGAGGTAGTGAGTACTCACTCTTTGCATTTCACAGATGATGAAGCTGAGACTCAGAGAGACTAAGTAATGAGCCCAAGGTCACACGGCAGTTCAGGCAAAGCCCCATTACTAACAAAGACCCAGATTCCCGAGCAGAGCACACTCTGGGACCCTGACAGCTGCCCAACAAGCCTCTCCGGCCTGGCACCCAGCACGCGCTCCAAACCCTCCCCCTCGGAGCACACGGAGTTCTCCTCCCCCAGCCCCGGGCTCGGCCACTCTCCCTCCAACTCCAGAGCCCACGTCTGCCGACTGCTCAGGAGCTGTTCTCAGGGGGCTGCCCAGGGCCCCCGCGGGGCGCTGCCCGTCCTGTGTGCCTTCTCCACGCCCGCCCACACCCCGCTACGGCAGGTCCACATCTGCGCCCTGCGGCTCACCTCGACACTTCCCTCTCCCCACATCACGGCTCCCAAACGGGACCGCGTCAGTGCACGTGCGCCGCCACTCTCCAGGGGCAGATGGCACGCGGCACAGGGACCGCTGCACTGAAACCCCATCACAGTCCCTGAGGCGGGCACGGGACCCGCTGGACAGTTACGGAGACCGAGGCCCAGAGCAGGCAAGCCACCTGCCCAACGCTGCACCGCTGGCAGGCGGCAAAGCTGAGGCTGAGACCCAGTCCCGCTGTGCTGGGCCCACACAACACACCTTCCCTCTCAGTACCTGCGTGTCGGTACCTGATGAGGGTCTGCGAAGCGGCTGGGGAAGACAGAAACCGGGCGCTCAGTCAGCTCTGCATGCTGTGTCAGCGTACAGTTACGTTTTGCTTGGCCTGCTTCACAGACATTTCTAGGCTTTTGTATTTTCTTCGCATTGCTCCTTGGCCTCTCCTGAAGAGGGGGGCCGGGGGGGGCGGAGGGGAAAAGTGCCTACTGCACAGCTTTGGTCTGGCTCCGCAGGGCTTGGGAGGGGCCTGCGGGGAGAGGGGGGCGGGCCGAGCGCTTCCGAGCAGCTGAGCTGGCTGCCTTGTCTACAGCTGCCCTGGCTCTGCTGCCCCCACTCCCCACACTGGCGACTCGGAAGTCCCTGGAAGGCCGTCTGCTAACTACAGGAGCTCCACTGACAAGAGAGGCAGCTCACCGGCTTCCATCTTGGTAACACAAACAACTAAAAGACCACGTTGTGAGACAAAGTGGCTACAGCACAGTGTGTTCCATAAGTCAGTAATATAGGCCAACTGAGTCACACTGGCAAAACAAAGAGGCAGCTAGAACGTGAGAAAGCTAGAGCTCAGTCTAAAACATGGAGGCCTGACTTGAAATCTCAAGACTGACCTTTGACTACCTCTGAGTCTCAGTTTCCTCATCTAGAAAATGGAACTAGTAAACCCTAACATAAGAGTTAACGTTAACATGGAAGAGAGAGCATGCATGTGAAGAGACCTTGCACAGGTGTTTAATACATGTTATTAAATTATGTTTTGTGCAAAAAATTATTTATTTAAATTCATGTTTAATCTCGAAGATGCTATTATAGAATTAGGGTTATTACTTCCGATTGTATGGTATTTGAGGCAATGCCTTCATACAATTGTCCTGGAACTTATAAAAATTAAACCTCAATACTCATTCACTGAATAATAACATTGATTAAATATTTAGTAAGCAATGCTTCTCCGTGGCATTGTTCTTGGCTGTAGAAACAGAAAAATGAACAAAACATAAAAATCGCTGCCTTCAGAGAGCATGAGGGGTAGTTACACAGTGAATGAGAACAAACAAGCACCCTGGCTGGTGCAGCTCAGTGGGTTGGGGGTTGTCCTGCGAACTGAAAGGTCGCGGGTTCGATTCCAGGTCAGGGCACAGGCCTGGGTTTCCATCCAGGTCCCCAACGGGGGGCGTGCGAGAGGAACCAATCGGTGTTTGTCTCCCTCCCTTTCTCCCTCCCTCCCCCTCTCTCTAAAAATGAATGAATAAAACCTTTTTTTAAAAAAAGAAAGCAAACAGGTCAGATGCATTGTGGAGAGCTACGAAGCAGGGCGTTTGGGAGGTGTGTGGTGCTGGGCGGGGGGGCCACGTGTGCACAGGGCAGCCAGGGGAGACCCTGAGACGGGGCAGCACCTGAGTAGAGGCTTGAAGGACAACGTGAACAGCCGGCCTAGTGGGTGAAGGAAAATTCTCTACAAAAACAATCTAACCAGTTAACGTGTTCCTAAGCGTCAGAGCCCCATATTCAACCAGAAACAAACGCATGTGGAGAAATGATGGAGTTCAAGCCATAATCAGAAAGCGACCCCAGTGACCCTCACTGACAGACAGAACCACAGAGGGACAGTGTGGCGGGGAAGTTCTCAGCGGAGGGATCCCACTGACACCACCTGACCCACAGCGCTGTGCCGGCCTCACAGACGGCGAGAGAACACCGTGCCTCCCCAAAGGGCGCCACACAGAACACAGGACACCCGGTCAACCCTGAAACTCAGAAAAACAGTGAACAATTTGTATCTGCAAAAGTGGAAACATTTTTGGAGATGTAGTCCTTTAGTGTAAGGGTGTCCCGGGCAATACTTGGGACACACGAACAGTAAAAACTGGCGTGCTTGCCCGAAATGCAGAGTTAGCACCCTTCGTTTTTGTGCACTAAACGTGGCCGCCCAACAGCATCTGCCACGGCGTGTGAAGTGTACCGCAGCGCCCAGGGAGCTGTTCTTGTGAAAAAAGATGCACCTGCATCATCAGCCTCTAGAGCTACACTCCAGTCTACAGAGAATCGGGAGGAAAGGAGAGCAAGTTAAAAGAAGCCACAGTGAGGAAACAGGAAAGTCCAGAACAGGGCACCTTCCGCGTGGTGGGTGAGGGGTCAGAGGGCACTACCACTGGAAGAGGCGGAAGGAGTATGGCTTCGAAATGGCGCGTGCGGACCTTGCGGGTCCTGATCCCAAAACATCAAGTGTAGAAGGGTATTTTCATCTGATTGAAACAATCAGGTGTACCTTTAAATTTGGACTGGGTATCAAACTGAAATCTGAGAATGACCCTGTGGCTGTGTGTAAAAGAAAAAAGGGCCCAGGTTTTAGAGGTGCACCCTGAGACACGCGACATAACATAACACGCGTGGGATTCCCCTTCGTCGCAGCCCCACTGCCCTCCTGCCATTGGGATGAGGCGGCTGGGTGAGTGGGGCATGGCGCTCTGTTCCTGTGCTACTCCTCTGTGTCTGGGTTTTCATAACTTGTTTTTGTCTAAAAAACATAAAGGAAAGAGGGTGGGAATTGCACAGCTACCTGGGAGAACACGGCAGGAGCGGGAAGAGCTGGCAGAGGCCGTGGCAGGGGCTGCCCGCGTTTGGGAACAGCGCTGAGGCCAGGGTACAGGGACAGCAGGGACCGGGGACGCGGTCCAAGACAGCGGAGGGGCTGGCACGCAGCCGTGCAGGGCTCAGTGGGGACCTGGCTTGCCTTCAGAGCAAAGCGGGAGCTGTGGGCTGCGAGCGGGGGAGCAGTGTGACCAGGTTTACGTTTGCGCAGGGCTCTCCGAGCGCTGCGCCAGAAACAGACCGCGGGGGCGGGGGCGGGCCGGGGCCGGCCTGGGGGCCCCGGCTGGGACTTGGTCAGGAGGCACAGCGTGGCAGCGTGGCCCGAGTGGCAGCAGCAGAGGTCAGAGGGGTCAGAGCCTAAGGCTCTATTTTGAAGGCAGAGCCAATGGGATTCACGGAGTTTGGATGCAGTGTTTGGAAAAAGACAGACATTGAAGACACCACCAGGTTTGGGCCTGAGCCCACGGAAGGCTAGTGCTGCCATGAGCTAGAAGGACGGCGACGGCAGGGGGCAGGTTCCAGGGGAGACAGGAGGTCGTTTCTGCACATGGGAAGGCCGAGGTGACTATCAGGCGTCCAAACGGAGAGTGTCGAGGAGGACATGTAAATCCGGAACTCAGAAAAGGCCGTGCAAACACAGGGCGGTCTTCCACAGCGCAGACCTGGCTGACCGCTCTTCCAAAATTATATAAAAGGCTATTTGTCTCTCGGGAGCAGAGCGCTGTGGTTGTCCTTGTCCCGTTCTCACCAAAAAGCGCCGCAGTGCACATGCCTGACATTAAGCTTCTGATAGCCAAGGCACCCATTCCCAAAGCCACCCCTTGCTCAGACGTGCTGCCAGCCAATGACACGCTACCAGCGAAGCAGCCACAGGGGGCCTCGCTGCCTGCCTGGGAGGCTCCTTGCTCAGAAAGCTGGGGTCCTTGAGCAGCCCCCTTTTCCCTTCCCAGGCCCTGACTCCCTGATTTAAAAACTCATAGGCTTTAAATTTGCCAATAAAGGGCAAACCCCTAAAACCCTGGGCATCCCTCCATCTCTCTCCCCCGACACACACCAGCCTCGCTGGGCGGCCCTAGGGCATGCCGTGCGCCCCCCAGAACCTATAAATAATGAATGTTGTTCCTTAGAGCCGCCCGGGGGTGCTCGCTGAAGCAGGCTCTGTGATCACAGTAAGCACCAGAGGGGCTGGTGCAGCGGCATGGAGGCCTCTGTGGGGGACGTGTCTGGGAGGCTCCCTCCGGGTAACACAGGCTGCGGTGAGGGCCGCAGACGCCCCCCGCAGAGAGCGGCACTCTCCACAGGCCGGGAGCCGCACGCAGGGACCTAACCCCGACCCAGGGCCCAGGGACATGGTGCTAGTGGAAGGGACAGGGCCAGGCCCACCTTCTCCCCGAGCCTCCTTGGGCTCCTCACAGGGCACTGAGCCTGCACTCTGGGGCAGGCACACAGGAAGTGGGTGTCCTCAGCCAAGGCGGAAGCCCCGGGCAGGCTGACAGTGAGGGGCACAGACTCCGCCCCACAAACGGGCCTCTCACAAGCAAGCCATAGGGACGACAGGCACCCTGCCTGGGCTCAAATTCTGAGATGCTACTCAGGAGGGCAGGTCTGCGTGAGACCTGTCTCACCTGTTGTCACAGAATGAAGCTTGGTGGCACGGAAGACAGTCTACTGTGTGAAGGCAGGGAGACTCTCATTTTCCAACACTGTCCCTGAGTAACCCAGTGTGATAAGGACCACCACCTGGGCCTCCGGCGTGACATGAATGCCCAGGCCTGGAGGGGGAGTCTTTCCCACCTGTTTCTCGCTGAGATGGTGATGCAAACACTGGAGCTGGTCACCAGAGGAACTAAGGGAGAGAGGACCAGTGTCTAGAGGCTCCTGTCATGTGCCCATACGAAATTTCTAAAAGTTTAAGTAATGAAAACCAAACCTTGGGAAACTTTAAATTGGGATAAACTAGGCATGTAAGTAGATTTAAGGTAATGAGTCAAAATGTCTTACCTGGCAAACTGATTGTGTGCCTCTTGTTCCTGGTCCCGAACAGAAGAGCACTCTGTTTTTACGTAGATGTACCAGTCCCGGGGTGAGAAGCCTTCCTCCAGAACCGGGCCAGAGGCCGAGGCACTGGGAGGACCACGACCCCCTCCCGCGTGGCTCTGCAGTAACATGACAACTCCTTTAACAGAGGGAACCAGAGCCTGTGAACACACAGTGAAATAAAGTTTCAATGGCAAACATAGACAGTATGTTTATTCAAGAAAGATATGCCATGTTTTATAATTAAGAAGACATAAAAGGCCTAAAATTAAATGTGTAAATGAACAGCTCTTTAATGACAAGGCCAAAAACCAAGCCAATGATCTTATTCTGCAAATCTATTCTCCTTCTTATTCAACATCATAATACAAGTCTTAGCCAGTGTAATGTAACAGAAAAAAATAAAATAAAATAAAAGGCAGGTAAATCAGAAAGGAAGAACTACAGTGTTTCATTCACAGATAACACAAATGTCTGCATAGAAAACCCGAAGGAGTCTACAGAAAAATAGCAAGGTTGCAGGATACAAGATCAAAACACTAAACCCAATTACATTCCTACATGCTAGCAATAAACATGTAAAAATAAACTTGTTTTAAAAAAAATTACTGTTGTTAATAACTACTCCAAAAAATGAAAGACTTAGAACTCAACAGAATAGGGACAGGATGTGTATGCTAAAAACTACAAAATATTGGTGAAAGAAATCAGAGAAGACCAAAATATTAACTGAAGGAAACACCATGCTCAAGGACTGCTAAGGGAGAAGAAGAAGCTGGAAGGGGAATCACATTACTTAGAAACAAAGCAAGTTAGAAGTCAGTGGAGTAACATCTTTTAGTCACTGAAAGAAAAAAAACAAACCTATCATCTTATAATTCTTTAGCCAACAAAAATGCCCTTAAAAAAATAAAGATAAAGCAAGATTTGTATACAACACTGAAAACTACAAAACATTGTTAAAAGAAATTGGAATTTTAAATAGGTGAAAGGACATCCCCATTCATGGATCAGAAAACTTGGTCCTCTTAAGATAGCAAAACTCCCAAAATTAATCTATGGATTCAACATGGTCTATATCAAAAAACCATGTGGATGTTTGCAGAAATTGACAAACTGATCCTAAAATTTATTTGGAAATGCAAAGGAGCCAGAATAACCTATACAACCTTGAAAAAGACAAACGAAATAGGATGACTTGTACTTCCTGATTTTAAAATGTACTGCAAAACTGAAATACTTGGGACAGTGCAGGACTGGCATAGGATATGCAATTAGATTGACGGGAAGAACTGAATGTCCATAAATAAACGCTTACATTTACAGGCAGTTAATTTTCAATAAAAGCTATCAAGAAAATTCAATGGGGAAAGAAGAGTCTTTTCAACCAATAGTGTTTGGAAAACTAAAATCCACATGCAAAAGGGTGGATTTGTGTCTGTCTCACACCATACACAAAAATTAACTCAAAATCGATCACAGATTTAAATGTAAGAGCTAAAACTACAAACTCTTTGGAGAAAACAGGAGTAAATCATCATGGGATAGCAAGGCATTCTTATACATAGCAACAAAAGCACAGGCAATAAAATTTAAAAAATTGGTGGAGTTCATTAAATTTTTTTAAAATTTGTGCTTCAAAAGACACTATCAAGAAATTGAAACACAAGCCACAGATCTGGAGAACTGCAAATCATGTACCTGACAACAGACTCGTACCTGAATTTATAAAGAACTCTTACAGATCCAACATAAAACACAAATAACCCAATTTAAAAGTGAGTGAAAGATCTGAGCAGACATTTTACTAAAGAAGATACACAAATGGCCAACAAGCACATAAGAAGATGCTCAATGCCATCATTTATTAAGGAAATGCAATTTAAAACAACACTGAAATATCATGTCACACATGCTGAAATGGCCAAAATAAAAAAGACAACAAGAATTGGCAAGGAGGTGGTGACTTTGGAACTCTTGTACCTTGCTGGTGGAATGTACAATGACACAACCACTCTGGAAAATATTTTGGCACTTTCTTAAAAACAGATTGTGAACTATGCATTATCAGTATCTTACCACTGGAGGAGAAGGGAAGGCTTAAAATCTTATTTCCAGCTCTCCCATCAAAATCAGACGCTAAGAAAATGGGTTTCTTTTGTGGTGCTAGAAAAACAAAAACAAACAAAAACCACACTGTTTACTTACCTGGTGAGCTCTTAGCTGGGTTGAACCATCCTTATACATCAGAGTTACCACCACGGTCACCGCCTGCTTGAGCATTTCAATCAGCTGGCTTTTCTCTAAATCATCCAAATACCTGGTATCACAAAAACGGCTTCCGAATGTTCTTGGGTCCCCAGAATTTAGGGAGGCTTCCGCCTGGCCAGCATCTTCCAATGCCTCATGTTTACTGGTTTCCTCTGGTGAATTATTACAGGTAATACGTTTTCTCTTAAGGTGCCTGCTTTCTTTATTTTCATTATTTATATATTTTTTAAGGAAATGTCTTCTTTTATGTTCCACTTTCTGTAGAACGGAAGCCTCTTGGTTACGCTGTGGAATCGGACAACTGGGAGGAGCCAGGGAGCCTGTGCTCTGCTTTTGGCCAGTAGGCAGCTGCTCTGTGACTGTGAGAGTGGAGGACCGAGGACAGAGTCTGATGGAAGCACTTGATGCCTGGCTTGTGAAAGAATTAAGATCCTGTAGAAAAACAGAAAATATTTTATGAGCAGATGGACTCACAACACAGAGATCTATAAACCAAAGTAATTTTGGAAAGTCATCTCAAGTAAAGGAGAACCCAGCTTCGTGTTATCCGGACCCAGCTTCCCGAGGCTGTACAGGGTCTTCGAGAGCCGTCACTTTTTCAGCCCAGGCAGGAGCGCCTGTGTGAATCGCAGGCTGGGCCAGGCAGGTGCCCAAGTCCGCAGCCACACCTCGTGCTGGAATCTGCGAGTAACCAGAGATGCTGTGGACAGGAGTCGGTGGCAGACGGGCAGGAGACCGAGGTTAATAATTTACAACTTCCAAGTAAAGGCCACTTAGAGAGAAAATGAAATCGCCACAACTATTAATACGTTAATCTACCTACTAAATTATTTTTTGTATCCAAAATGTGTTCTCTGGGATGGCTCCGCACGCATCTTAATCCAGGTGCTTTGAGTGCTGCTGCCTTCTGAACGAGCACCCTTCAGTCAGCTTTGCTGTTCGCCCTGCAGAGGCGACAGAGGACAGCGGAGCAGCCGGTACACAAGACCGCCATCTGTGCAGGGCTACAGACGGTGGCGATTTACAGCTTCCTGTGCATTTCACGTCCATGAAGGAGGATCTGGGGCCCTGCACCAGGCCCAGTTCCTCTTCTCCCCTTCTGGAGAGGGATGGAGACCCTTAGCAAGAGGCATGCTATCGCAGGGAGGTTGGCACTGCCCGAAAGGCTAAAACTTTTTGAAAATATGGCTCAGCAGCAATCCACTTTCTGTCTCAGTCTAGCAATATGCAATATTCACTCACAGAATCACAGACTAACTAAGGGGGGAGATCATGCCTATCCACTTCATGATAGGGTTAATTCACCATAAAATGATCTCTTTCATGTTTATTTTTCAGATTTTATGATACACTTATGGTGGAGTTTTTAAAAAGATTTTATTTATTTTTAGACAGAGGGGAAAGAAAGGAATTAAGAGGGTAACAGGGGGAGCTAAACATCAATGTGTGAGAGAAACATTGACTGGTTGCCTCTTGCATGCCCCCAACTGGGGACCTGGCCTGCAATCCAGGCACGTGCCCTGATGGGGAATTGAACCACTGACCTTTCGGTTTGTGGTATGACGCCCAACCCACTGGCCACACAGTCAGGGCCACTTATGATGTTTTGAACAACTGTATACTAATCGTACTTTCAAATAATTTTGAAAGAAAATGTTTTAACCCTTGGTCATAGGGTCATAGAACATTTTAATTTATACTCATTTTATTGCAGAGAAATATTATGGTTCAAGAAAAGACTTTTAAGCATGAAACTCTATTACATTAAAAATTCTGTGGAGGTGTGCAGAAGAAAAGGAGTTCATGGAGAAAAGGAAAATATAAAAGCTCAGATTGTTGGAGAATGTCTGGCTGGCGTATTTTCTAAAGGGGTGATTATGGATATCAAGTTACCAGAGTACAGTGCATATTTAGGTTGTAGCGGCTATATCCTAGATGATGACACAGCAGTTTTTAAAATGTCAATGTTATCAATACCAGAACTATGTCCTATGAAACATTTAAATTTGTGATGAACCCTTTAAATGTCAACTTAAAAATGTCAGAAGACACACGTCCTCTCAAAATTCCTTCGGGAGGAAGGAAGCGAAAGGGCCTCTGCCTCAGGGCTCAGGAAGCACCGTCTGGACCCCAAGGAGGGAGCGCTTCCAGTCGCTCACTCTGGGCTGCTGCGTAGTCCTTTCTGCCAAAGATGCCCTCCATTTAATGCAATGCACCTATCGAGACGTTTTTCCAGTGCTCAAAACAGTGTTTGAATGCACTGACTTTGATACCTCTTAGTACTTCTGCCAATTTTCGTTTCACCTATTCCACATCGGCAAAACGTTTCCCTTTGGGGTCTTTTTTCATCCAGGGACACAAAAGAGGAGTTGCTCAGGGCAAGATCAGGCAAAGAGGGAGGGTGGGGCACAGGGGCCATGCCACGTTTGGTCAACAGCTGCTGAACACCCAGCGCAGTGGGGGCAGGTGCGCGCCTCAATCACCTATCATGGAATGGACGAACGTGGTGAGAGTCTTCAAAATAAAAAATTCGCTGAAGCCAAACGTAGCCTCTCACAACAACGCCAGTTGGTTCACTCATACAGATGGGTTCCTGGAACGCTCACCTAGTGGGGAGAAACTTGTAGTACAAGGGGCCTGCCCTCCAGAAGATAATTACAGTTTTTTGGAGGGTCCCCCTCATACAAGGCCTTTGGTGATGTGACCTCATCTACCTCTCCCCCCAAGCCTAAACCATGCAACTCCCCTGTTGTGAATTTTATACCCCTTCTTTTCTAAACGTCTCTTTACTTCCACTATTCAAATGTCCCAAACTCCACTCTCTAAAGGGTAACCATCTCCTAATTATCCTTTAGACCCCCACGCAGGTATAATTTTCATCATTAAAAGAAAGATGTCCCAGACTCCTCTCCCTGTCCACCAGAGAAAGCAAACTGAAGCAGCACAGGGCCTGGGTGAGATGTCCCTCCTACAGCTCCCAGAGCCCTTAGACTGACTTCCGTCACGCACGCAGCACATAGCACGCCTCACGCCGTGTGGTGGGGACCTTCTGTACTTCTCTGTCTCCCTCTCCTCTCACGTGAATTAAACCAACAGCCGCTGGAGAAAAATAGCTCCCCCTCTTTTTAACCACCATAGCCACAGTGCCTGACATACAGTAGACACTGAATGAATCTTTGTTGAATGAATGAGGGTTGTTATCTGTTTAGAATTATTCATGTCTCCAAGCATTTACCTTTTTTCCCAGTGCTTGGTTGTTCCCATCTTCAAGCAGCCCTGAAAACTCAACCCTGGACTTGCTCATCACTTCCGCAGCTTTTAAAACACAAAAAAGGAACATGAGGCACTAAAGAAACATTGAACTCTAAGTCATACAATTAGTAAACACTGAAGATAGCTTCTACAATCATGCTACTTACCCATTATTTACTTACTTAAAGCAATGTCATTCATGACCGAGATGCCTAGTACCATTGTAACAAACACTTATGTAAAGTATCTTCAAATTAACTGGAGGCAGAGCTACGTAATCATGAAATGTTCATTAAAGGTTACTACCTGGTATTTATATTTGCATACTTGATTCTGAAAACGCTGGTAAGAAACCTTGTAAATATTAAAGGTTTGGGGAAATTCTTAGACTGAATAATACTGCAATGGAACAATTAAGAGATTCAGTAAAATACCAATACAAACTCCTGATTTAAATTTTGCTTTCATTTTATTTTTAAGATTTTTTTTTTTAGATTTTGTTTTGTTTTTTTGTTTTTTTTAGAGAGAGGGGAAGGGAGAAAGAGGGGTAGAGACACACATCAATGCATTTTTGCCTCTCACACAGCCCTTACTGAGGACCTGGCCAGCAACCCAGGCACGCACAACCCAGGCACACATCCCAACAGGGAATCGAATCAGCGACCTTTTGGTTCACAAGCCAGCGCTCAATCCACTGAGCCACACCAGCCAGAGCTAAATTTTACTTTCATTTTAATAAGCAGTGGCTGAAAGAAAGTGATGGAATGCGGATTCAGGCCCAAGCAATACATCCCTGGAGTCGGCACTCATAATCACCATGCCTGACCACAGTGACGCGCCTTCCCTCTGCAGCCACGATAACACCAAGAAATGCAAACTCAGGGAGGTTTTCACTGACAGAAAAAATTATCCTTAGGATAAATTCAACAAGAAAGGGCCAAGGCACTAGATGATTAAAACTTAAAATCTTACAAAATGGCATGGAACAAGATCTATACATATGGAAAGACACAGCGTTGGGATATACACAATATGTTTAATTCTTCCATAGACTTAATGCAGTTCCAATTAGAGACCATACAGACTCTATTAAGTGAAAAAGAATTTTTCAAAATACATATGAAATTTTAAATATCTGAAAAGAGTAAGTTTAAAAAAGTAAAAGACTTGTCTTGCCAGATTATCAGAATATGCTACAAAGCCACTGTAATCAAATCCATGTAGTATTTGCATAGGACTAGAAGAAAAGATCTCTAGGTCAGAAGAGACAATCCAGAAACTGACCCTGAGACTTATGAGACTTTAATATAACAAAGATGGTGTTTCAATTAAGAAATAGGGATAATACAACTACCACCACTTCTAAAAGAAAATAGTACATTAGGAAAATTACGAGAGACAAAAATGACCATAGGCTAATACCTATATTCTACGACATCTTACATGTTAAAAAAAAAAAAAAAGACAACGCATAGAAAAATGAGCAAAACATAGGAAGAGGCAATACACAAAATAGGAAATCCAAAAAGCAAATAAACATGGTATAATGTTCAAACTCACTAGCAGTCAGGGAAGTGAAAATTAAATGTAAGTGGAGATGGATGGGAACAGGCAGTTTCATGCATTCCTGGCAGAACTGTGGAGACAGTGAGTCCTCACTTAACATCGTCAACAGGTTCTGGGGCTTGAGACTGTGTAACAAATTCAGCTGTGCCCTGGCCTAATTGCTATAGGGAAGAGTTAAGTTCCTATGGCACTTCATCCAAGTGACAGCAGAATGACATTATTTGAGGACCTGTTGTAGTTAGAATCTTTATGGAAAGCAAACTGTTAACGCTTACTAAAATTAAAAATACACGCCTCACCTTTGGGAGTTGGGGAGAAATGGGCTGATCCAAGGGGAGCACAGTTGGGCCTCTTAGGTGCCTCAAACGTTCTGCTTCTTGGTCTGGGTGAGGGTTACAGTATGTTCAGTTTGTGGGATTTTGAGCTATAACTTTGGATATATGTGCTCTGTGTGTGCATGTAACCTCCATAAAAACGAACAGATTTCAAATACATAAATCATCTAACCAAACAACCTCACTCCGGTTATCTGTTTCATAGAAATATATGCAACAGTAAATAGGTTTAAATCAAATGTTTATGGCAGTATTGCTTTATCGCAAAGGACTAAAAACAAAGCATACGCCAGTCAAGAGGGAAGGCGATGAATAAATCACGTAATGTCCACACTGCAAAGCATGTAGCCATTGAAAAGAATGACTTAGAGCTGTATCAGTTGACTTCAAGATGCGGAATCTGTAAAAATACGATCCCATTTTTTAAATCAGTGACCAAATCCCCTCATTTGTGCACACGAGTGTGTTGTGCACGTACAACGGCACAGTTCTTGCCCCGGGCGCCATCTAGGAAATGCAGGTTTGTGTTCAGAACTGTCACTGGGCAGCACTCTCAGGATCAACTTCTGCAGGCAAGTAAAGGAAGGAGGACCGGGCCATGATGCAGTCACTACAAAGGCTCGTTCTGCAGCTGACATGGCTCTGCAAAGCTGTCCCATTGGGCTAGGGAGCCGGGCATGTATACCCAGCACCCACCAGTCACTGGACTGGTTGCTTCTAGGAAGGCAGTGTGCCCTTGGGCTGAGCAGCTCTTTGCAGTGGAGGCACCCAGGAGGCGTCAACGTCAAGGTGAGCAGCTCACCAGCAAGGCTCCCAGCCCCTGGGGCGATGAATGGTTTGGTTTCCCTCTTACAGGGAGGCGGGTTGGGGGGCTGGGCAGCAGGCACTCACTGCAGTCCCGCACTGCAGCTCACTACCTGCTGCTCACAGCCACCTGCTTCCAATGTGTTCTGGAGCAGCTGCTTCAGGACTCTGGTGGTTTGCCTGGAGGAAACCTTTAAAAGCAACAGTAATGGCACTGCAGCTGGTCTCAAAGTTGCAAATGATATTTGTCTTCCTACTCTACGACCCACCTAAGGTCCCCTCACCCCGGTTAAGCACCGCTGGCTGGTCTAGGTAGCTGACTGAGGGAGCGACCAAACCCTCATCCCTGAGAGAAGCCGGTCCCTGGTCACCACTCCTGGTGACCATGGCTGATGTGTGGCTGTGACCTGGCCATGGCTGATGTGTGTGCTGTGAAATTTGGGCAGGGTACCAAGAGTCAACCAGTTACACACCTTGGTGCCAAGTATATGCTTTCCTGCCCCTGTTGAGCAACAGCAGCCCTACCCTAGGACGACCGGGAGGCTCACTGGGGCAGGACGGAGATGACAGGCCCTGCCTGCCCGTCTCCTCACATAAGGAAGCTGAACTGACCGGACAGCCAGAGCTCGGAACTGAATGGTGCTGTCTTCCCGTGCCCCAGGGGGCTGCCCCTCTGGGAGAGGGGGCCACCTGCAGGACCCAGAGTGCAGGACCCAGGTAAGCACGGCCGTTCCCGCTTCCACCTTATGGTGCCCAGATCCTGTAATTACACAACCAGGGGACACCGCCCTGCCGCGGTCACTGATGCACAGCGTACACCGCACCCTGGAGGGTCCTGCTCCATCACTGCCGGGCGTCCTCCTCAGGCTGGCACTGAGCTGCCCCTGCCGCAGGCCACTCCACCTCCCCCTCCGGCTGGTGTTTATGGGTGCATGGCTGCGAGGGGGCACAGAGGTCACACAATCACGCACCCACTGCAGTTCCTCTGCTGTAAAGTGGGTCCCCATGCCTAACGCGATGCTACGTGGGATTCTGAGTCAGCGGACCAAACGTTCTGTGAGCCCTGGTAATGGCTCATGGAGGCCCAGCAAAACACACCTGGAACACGTGTCCGTGCCCATCAAGATCCGTCTCTGCACCCCTAGGGACACATGGGGCTCAGTGCTGTCAACTTGCCAGTAAGTGCCTGACTGCTTGCCTCACAGGGTGGTACCACCAGGGACTCAGCATTTGGTCTGTGTTGGGAGGAAGGTTGGACATTCAGCAATGCGGTAGCCAGATCAGCCCTGGTTAGTGGGAGCATCATGCTGTTAGGCCCATGCAGCCTCCACCCTGCCCGCGGCTACTCCATTAAAGAGCCCAAAGTGCCAGGACCGGGAGAGCAGGTGACAGAGGCGGGTGGACATCCACTGGCCAAGTCTAATTTTGTTCCTTCCTTCAGCACTCCACCTGAGGCAGCTGCTCCCTGTGTCTGCTATTACCATCATCTTTAGACTCCTCTGTGCTCCTTGGTAGCTAATCCCAGTACTAGTTAAAATGCTTTAAATGTTCCCTGTGCAAACTACTACACAGCCTCTGTTCCCTGACTGACCCACACACTCATAACCGCCCTTCAACAGGCCCAGGTCCCCTTGGGCAGCTTACATTGACTTCATGGCCAGAAGGGAGAAGCAGCAGTTTCTGAGGGAGCAAGTACTCTTTTTTAAGTCAGAGGCCTCTTGCGAGCAGGGTTGGGCACTAGCCTTTAACAGAGGAGCAGCCACTTTCGCAGGTGCCAGTTATCTGAGACTCAAAATCTGCACGCACCAAACCACAGCTCAGGGTTTGGTCCCTCTTCCCGACCAAGGCCCGGGCCAAGCAAGAATCCCACCCTTCAGAGTTCGACAAGCCTTAGGACCAAGCGCTGGCCTGCGGCTGCAGGGAGTCTCTATTGGGGCTACCAGAGAAGCCCTCAGGCTCTCATACTTAGCCTTTAATTGCTAAGTAATCACCCTCGGTCTCTTTTTCCAAAGGATCTCTTCTTCCCAGCTGCAGCCACCAATTCCATTTGTAACTGAACCAATGGGTTCTATTGCCTGGAGAAGAACCACCACCAAATAAGGACCATGACTCGCAATGCCAGTCTTCTGAAAGGGAAAGGGACTATTTATTCAAAAGTTATACAGGTTTAGAATAATAGCAGAATTCTGCCATTAAATCCACACCCTTCAGAACCCCCCCACACACACAGTCCTGCTCCCCCCTTGCCAAACCAGGCCAATCAGAGGTACCATCTCTCAGGAAAAGAAATTGGAGTCCGTGGCTTAGCTGGGCAGATTCCCATCCGCTGGTCAGCTTCTTCCAGTCTTCTGTGCCCCC